TTATTTTAAATTATTTAAATTTTATTTTTCTTAACTAATTATTTAGTTTGGGCTTTAAAATGGGCTTTAGGGACATTATTGACAATTTGGTGTTAACCCTAATTTGTTCCCTATATATACATGTGTTGCCTTGTTGGAAAAAAGGAGAGAATGAAAAAAACCTAAGAGGAGTGAGTGCCGTTTGCCGTTATTTAGTTTTCTTCTTCATCCATTACTATTGTTTCTTTTTCTTCATCGTTTACCGTTATTTCTTTTCCTTCATCTATTACTGTTGTTTCTTTTTCTTCATCTTTTACCGTTATTTCTTTTTCTTCATCTATTACCGTTATTTCTTTTTCTTTATCTATTACTGTTACGTTTATATATATATATAATTTTTAAATTGTTAGAGTTTATATATATAAGATTTTTGATCGAATTATGTCGATACGATGTTTGCACATTTGTGTGCATGACGCGTGACATTTGTGTTAGTTCGATCTGGTTGCGATGATCGCATTTTTGTGTGAGCAATAATACTATTTTTTGCTTAATTTCTTTTTCTTTGCGATAAATTTTGTTTGGTCCGATTTAGATCTGGTTGCGATGAGCGCATTTCTGCGTTAGCAACATTGTTGGGTTATTTGGCACATTTAAAATTCATTATTGCTTTTATTATTATTATTATTATTATTATTATTATTATTATTATTATTATTATTATTATTATCATTATTTATTATTATTATCATTATTATCATTATTATTACCATTATTATTATTATTGTTATCATTAATTTATTAAAATTTGTTATAATATAAAAATCTGTTTTTTTAAAATAAATAACATTAACATCTTTTCCAAATTAATATGAAAACCTATTATTTTTAAAAAAAAACTTTTTTTTTTAGATAAATTTAAAATAATAACTAAAATCTTTTTTTTAAAATAATAACTAGAACCGTTATTTATTTTATTTTATTATTGTTCAATTCAAATTTCATTATCATATTGTATCTGCTCCTCTCATGTAACCTCGCGAACTTAACAATCGCTCTTTAAATTCTGCCTTTAAATTTCCGCTTGCATGGTTTAAATTATGACATTATCTCTCTGTTTGCATGATTCAATTATCTCACGCGTTTACTATTATTTCTGTCACATTGCACACATCCGAAGGTTAGGTCTAACTGTTTGGCCGCCGCGCCAATAGTCCGTAAAACTTCACACATTCAATTTCAAATCCTACAAACTACAAACCCTAATTTTCACAAATGCCTCGCCGCAGGCAAAATTACAATTTTACCCTTAGCATTAGGTCAAAGAGCCGCCGCGCTCATTTTAGGGTTTCCCGCCGTGGAATCCCTAATTTAACCCTAATTACAACTTAACATTTCAACGTAGAGATTTGGAGTTTCTACACTCCACGTAAGCGTGTCCTTAAGATGCGTTTATTCCCCTTGAGACCTTGACCACAGTCAAGAAGTTTCTAACCTCCCTATTGAGGGGAACTACGATTACTCTGATTCCACTCCCGTAAGGATACGTAGGCACAAGATGCGATGTCTTGCCGAGTAAACTTAGAATTAACCCCCTTTATTATTTATTATTGCTTATTTATATTTTATTTATCTTTGCTATTTAGTTATTTTGCTTATTATTTTGTAATTGTTTCTTGGATGTAAAGTTGTTTAATTATTTAATTATTATTATGGTTAGTAATCAGGGAGTGTAACAACATGTATGTAATATTAAAATAAATTTAGATCACTTTTAAATAAAGATAATTAAAATAAACACGTCACACACGTAAGTCGATTTTAATCGCCGTCTCACTTCCTAAGGATATCCCTCAAGTTGCCTACGAATAATGGTTAAGTGGGGTGTATAAAGCAAGTCCCTCAAATAAAAAAATCATCAAAGTCCCTTATGGTTGCCTTTACGAATCGAGTCCCTTTCGAAAAATGATGATGGTCCCTTATATGTGCTTATTACATCCCACAATGGCCTTCAAAGTCAAATTGTCCCTCACATGTCCCTTAACATCCAAAGTAAGGACTACCTACTCCATTATAGTAGGGATAGTCTTACTAAAGGAAAGAATAAAGAATAAGAAAGACCTTTAAACATTAGGGTAGGTTACTCCTAGGTGCTTGCTCACTTCAAAACTGTTTCACACTTAAACAAATTTTCAACAAGTTTTCAAACAAGTTCTTAACACATCCTTACATGGATTATTTATTAACTATTCTGAAAATTTTCTATTCACACACTACAATTTCAAAACAATTCAAAAGTGAGCTTAAGTACCTAAGAGCTCATGGATAACCATGGATGAAAAGGATGCTAATACCTTCCCTTTTCATAACCTACCCCCCGGACCCAAAATATTCTCTAAGGTCTTTCCTGTTCTTTTATAACCTTTCCTTATGGATAAAATAAAAGTCGGTGGCGACTCTTGCTATCCGCAACATTGTTTAAAGTCAGTTCACCGGGTTACAATACCCTAACAAAGTTTTTGAAGATTCTATCTATCATTGGTTTGTTTAAAGCTAAATCGAAGCAGATCGACATGTACATATGCTACTTGCGACAATGATAAAGATCTTAGGGCGCAAACAGTCTTGTGCAAGGCCATAAAATCTCACCCAAACTTGAGTCAAGTTGTTTTGTTCTAGGTTTAGAATGAAGTCCTTTGACGAATGGGATAACTTTGACAGACTTGGTGAAAAGTTCTGAGCTCATGAAGTGCACACTCTTCTAACGACCTCAAGAGAATAGAAGGTAAATTCAAAGAAACCTTTTCCCAATAAGATCACTCCCCAATTTCTTCAAATCTTTCCACGATGTTGGGAGCTTGGAACGTGCTAACCACTGAAAACGACGAGAAACCTTTTGGCCACATATTCTTCCATGAAGGTTATGTTTAGAAGAATCAACCCTGCTTGGTATTTTTCTTCTGGTATTGTGATTGAAATTCAGTCACCTTTCAATACAGGTCGAGGCAACTGAGATTTTGTTATGTTGCATATTCTATTAAAGACTTTAGCGAAATATTTTTGTTTTAGAGTATTGGTGTTTAGTTTTAAGACAGACGCTAATGCAGGACATGTCCATCCACCGTATGCTGAAAGACTCCATTGGTGGTCGCTGAATGACCTAACAATTTAAAGAATTGCAATGTTATGTTAAGGAAAACTTCCATCTTGATAAAAATCTTCAATAATCAATTCACTTGATGAAAAATATAAAGAAAATATGATAAGTTAAATAGTTAAATATTCCTTCATTAAATGGAAAGTGGAGTAACTCAATTGAAATATGCTATTAGAATTAACCGATTGTCTAAAGTTTATTTCATGCTATTAGAATTAAAGAATTCTAATTTGTAGGTCTAAAGATTCATTCCTGCCGACATTTATTTATATGCTTGTTTCAACAAAGTTTCGAGCTATTTATTTTAAATTTTTTGGCAGAATAATAAATTTTTATTATTATATAATTTTTTAAAATTAATTATTATAATTTATTGATATTATTTTTCAAGTGATTAAAATAAAAGTTAAATTTTTTAAATAAATCAATAAATACAATTAATTGATTGCAAAAATTTTTTACACTGACAAGAAACTTTCATTAGAAATCAATTAATTTTTTTTTTAACATAACTTCTGTTATGAAATACCTTTAAATAAAAAACTCATGAAAAAATGGAGTCGTATGGGTTAAGTATCTGTGAATAAATAAAAAAAATTGTAAAATAATTTGTAAATTTTGGATCAAAATCTTTCTTTTTCTTTCCCTTTAAAGTGAAAGACAAAATCTCGAAACTCTCGTTTTCACACAGCGTTCTTGCAAATTCGTTACTCTCATTCTCAAATCTCTGCATTTTCACTTTTCCATTTTTCAGATCACTGTACCATTACACGGTAATTTCACCTCTCTATCTTTTCCTCTTCCTTGTTCATCTTTTGCTGTATATGATTTATGATGATTTTTCGTTCGATTTTTTCACGGTAGTTATTTTTGATTGCGATTTTGTTTTGTGTTATTTGAATTCAGCATTGTGTGTGTTGTTAATTCGAAACTGTGTTTGAAGATTCTTAACTTTCCGCATACATTACGAATCAGAGAGTGTTCTCGTTTTAGTTCTAAGGTGTATTAGGTCGGATGAATGTGTTGAGACTGATGAGCATTAGCTGTAGCTCCGAATTTGTTGATGTGCAAATAAATTTGGAGTGTTTTTTTTTCCTAATTTGAGTTAAGCACTTCAGTTCATGCTTTGCATTTTTCGATTATGCGGTGGAGTAATTGATTATGTAAAATTGATTCTGGCTAAAGTGAGTTGAAGATAAAGTGATTTAGTTTTGGATAAATAGTAAATTTCAGTGTAGAATCACGTTTAGATTCAAAATCTACAAATCTTAGCCTCAAGTAGAAATAATTCTGAATCTACTCGAGAGCAACTAAACATGTCAAAATCAATTCTACATGTTCAGAATCAATTCGAAGTGTTCCAACCGTGAAACCAAATATAAACGGTGTGTATCAATGCCTTTGTAGCTAAGTAATTTTGCTTGTTATTGGTAATGAGCTTCCTATAGGTGATTCTTGTTTTTATATTTCATATTGAATCTTTGGTTGAAGTGAGTTTGAAAGAGAAAGTTCTAACTGGAAGGAGATATGTACTTTGATTATTGATTCAAGGATACTTAATAGTTAAAAAAAGTTATACATATACTGTTATATGTTTTTATCTCTTGAATAGAACATTATGGCGGGAGTTGATCCATGTGGCCAACCTCAGTTAGTGGGATAATGCTTGATTTTTATTGTTGTTATATGTTTTTATCGTTATGTTTATCTGATTCTCATTTAAACTAACAAGGATCTTTGGACTTTGAAGAACAATTACTGTTTAAATGTTGGTTTTACTACAGTGATAATAAATAGTGATCTCTGGTGTTTTTATGTTGAGATCTTTCACATACTATACTGCATTATGTTTTGCAGGATCGATATGGCAGTCATGGCGACAATAATGAACAGGCAGCATTTGCTGACCTACATCTACCTTCTGGTTTACATTTCACTTTCCTCGGGTGTTATTCTGTATAACAAAGTAAGGGGTCACAGACATGCCAGCAATTTCATTCGATTATGTTTCGTGATTTATCTTGTACTGTAATATGTTTTACTCAACCTGTTTCCTTTTCTGGGCATTGGTTTATTGCAGTGGGTCCTCTCCACACTGTATTTTAATTTTCCATTTCCAATAACACTCACTATGATCCATATGGCTTTTTCTGGTGGAGTTGCATTTTTCCTTATCCGTGTTCTGAAGGTGCGTGTCTGTTTGAGTTTGTCACATCGCCAGTTTTAGCTTTTTCTGAATATACATTGGCTTTTCTTTGAAATATAACCGGATTAACCAAATGATATTTCTTTTTTCATCTTTTGAATTTATGCAGGTTGTAGCGCCTATTAAAATGACATTTCATATGTAAGAATTCTACACAGACACCTTGGTTCACATTTCATGTAATATTTCTGGCTTCACACTAATGTTCGGTTTGCAGATATACAACTTGTGTGGTCCCCATAAGCGCCTTCTTTGCAGCAAGTTTGTGGTAAGCAGTTGATGATATTGATCAAAAGTTGTAATTCAAGCAAAACTATTTGAGAAGTGTATCCCTGTATTCAATTCTATGATGGTAAATGTTTAAGTTCGCTGGCATTTTAGCAAAATAGATGCTCTAGTGTTTTTGTCTCCTTTTTTAGTATAAAAGTCTGACCAGGGTTATCAAGATTTGTGCTTCCAGCTTGCAATCTTCATTTTCGTGAACTCATTCGGATCATGAAAATCTTTTTGTATGCATGCATGTTCATGTTTGTGGAGCCATACAAAAAAATGTAGCACAAAAAGGATGATTGCAAAATTTTATTTGTAGATATGCTAAGATTTAACTAATATTTGATTAGAATCTTTTATGTTATTGATTATGTTGATCACCTTCTGCATTCCCTTGGATTTTTTTTTTTGATAAAATAAAACAGAACGTTTCATTACAAAGTTGGATGAAACAAATATGATTCGGCATATATAAATATAATCACCAATTTCTGCTTGCAGATGTATAAATTAAGATGTAGCTAACACACTATGAGTCATTTATAATCTTATATATTATATTTGTCATTCATCCTGTTGACTATGATATGCATTTAGATGTAATTTAGCAGATTGAACTCATGATTTCAAGACAGTTTTCCTGAATTTAACAAATCACTTTAAAAGCTCCAATTTTATATCTTTTATATTTTAATGAACTGAATTTTCTTTATAGCACCATAGCTTACTTGTCTAAAATAATTCAATAAGCTGGTTTAGTAGTGATTGCTGTAATACAGACTCTTTGAAGTTTTTTTTTAAAATGCTCTGAAAAGTACCTTCCCGATGCATGGCTGTATATTTTACTGGTACATATTAGTACCTTCCCGATGCATGGCTGTATATTTTACTGGTACATACTAGTTTAATTGATTTTTTCTCTGTTTAGGTTTGGGAACACTGCTTACTTGTACATTTCTGTGGCTTTCATCCAGATGCTTAAAGCCCTAAGTGAGCCATTTTTTTATCGTATTTCCATCTATAATCCTTCATAGAATTCCTTAATTTAAGATCACTCCTTTCTTTTTTGATTTATTTGTTTTTTCGTTTTCAGTGCCAGTGGCAACATTTCTCGTGGCTGTTACTCTCGGAACTGAGAGATTAAGGTGTGATGTGTTCTGGAACATGGTATTGGTCAGTGTTGGAGTTGTCATTTCCTCCTATGGGGAGATTAATTTTAATGTGCTCGGTACAGTTTATCAAGTCTCAGGAATAGCTGCTGAAGCATTGAGGCTGGTCTTAACTCAAGTTCTTCTTCAAAATAAAGGCTTGACACTAAATCCTATTACCAGCTTGTATTACATAGCACCCTGCAGGTAGTTCTGTTATGTATTTGAAAACCTGTATGTAGTTTTGTTTATGTTGGTGGGAGGGAAAAAAATCTCATGAAAATTGAACCTTCTATATTAATTTTAGTTAGTTTCAATTTTGACCCGTGTTTTTATATTGCCACTGAAAATGGTGTGGTTAGTTTCTGTCACTAGATGCATCTGAATGTTTGTGTGTGTTTGAACTTTGAATTAGATTATCATGTTCAGACAAGCTTACAGTCAAAATGCTGCAGGATATGATATTGATCTAATCTGATACAATAGCATTTTTGCCCCTTTGAATAAATATTGTGCGCCATCTTGTGTGTCTTTTGCTTGTAAATGATTACTCTGTTGCTTCCTGCTTGGGATACTTTATTATGCTAGTTTATACTGCACTCACTTTGATACTTTATTATGTCAGTGGGTACATTAAATTTCAAACTTACACTTTTATTTTATTGTGCTGAATAGTGACCATTTACTTGTTATTGTCTATACAGCTTTGTATTCCTTTTTATTCCATGGTATATCTTTGAGAAGCCTGAGATGGAAGCTCCACATATGCAGTTCAACTTCTGGATATTTTTTTCAAATGCTCTCTGTGCTTTGGCATTGAACTTCTCAACATTCTTAGTGATTGGTAGAACTGGGGCTGTAACTATTCGAGTTGCTGGAGTCTTGAAAGACTGGCTGCTTATCTCTCTTTCAACTGTCTTATTCCCCGAATCAAAAATTACAGGACTGAATGTTATTGGCTATGCTATTGGTATATGCTTCTTTGTTGAAAAGACATTTTGGATTTTTTTTCAATTGATTTCTTCCAATCAATTTCTTATATGAATTATTTTTGAATGGGCAGCTTTAAGTGGGGTTGTTTGTTACAACTACCTGAAGATCAGGGATGTGCGGACATCTCTACAAATTATCACTGACGAATCACCAAAGGTCAGCCTTCTCAATAAACTTTGTTTGTTTAGTAGTTTGATCAGTATTCGTGCACTATTATTCCATTCACATTCCCATCTATGTTAGTAGAAAGATTCATGGAAAGGTGATTCCTTTCAACAACCGTTCCTTTCTGGAGAGGAGGGATTAGCGATTTCATTCTCTCTAAAAATGAGATTATTTGTTTTTCCTAACACATTTTCATTTATTTTTCATTTTACTAATTTAGCATTTCTAAATTTCAATTTTATTTTCAACCTACTCTTTATATTGTATTTAATTTTAAATACCTGTTAGATTTTTATAGAATAATATATAAACATGTAAAAGAATTATTTAATATTTAAAATATTGTGAAACACAATCACTATTCAATTTATCATAAAGAAAAGATCATAAAGTTCAAGTACTCAAAACATGAAAACTATCTGTGTTCCACCCTTATTCGATACCTATGTGTTTGATATATCCTAATACATTCCTAGGAAGTATCCAATTATTCCTTTTATTTTTGTTTTTTTCTATTCCAATATGATGGAACTCTCAAATCCGTAGTCAGAAATTAAGTAAAGAAGGTATATCAACAATGTAAAAAGGAATGAACCCTAATCTACCCAGAGCTCCTCAGAGGAGAAAATTCTCCCTACCTACGGAAATTTGTTCATTCAATATTCTAACATAATAGATACAATTCACTAACATTACTATTTATACTATTATTAGAATTAACACCTTAAACATGCGGAAGAAAACATTATTCGGACCCAATTCTAATTTTTCTCTAAGAGGTTGAAAGGTACACTTATTCTCTTGATTGAAACAAGCCTCACCCGAACTATTTACGGAAAGGCATTTAGGAGAAAAATAAGTAGTAACAGGATTAACTAGCGTGTTATTTCGGACCTGGAGGAATAGTTGGGTCACTGTACAGTCACCTTTGTCCCGTTTTGGGTCTGTAATTTGAGTTGTGGTTATCCGATTGAGGTGATTTTGGTGGTGCTGAATAACTACAACAAATATCTACTAGTTTTGTAACCTCAATACCAAATTTGACCTTTATCATGATACGATTAAGCTTGATGTTCAGGAACAAGTTCTGTTAATGCAGTTTAGCAGACGATGACTTTTCTCCCTTAGACTGTTTCTTGAACTGTGGTGATCCAATTTGGGTGTTCTTGGTGGATTTGAAAAGATAACTTCTTAAATTACACAAAAGTTGAATTCAAACATTATACATGATATATATTAAACTTCTTTCTTTTTGTTGTGAGGGGATTCATATCATGTTTGATTTTGCTACTGTTGGTAAGTGTTGATGAGATGAATTTGTATTGTGATAATCACGGTGTTTTCACATTACATCAAAGCTCAGTCTGATATGAAAGAACCAAGCATTTATCAGTTCATTATCACTTTATCTGCCGAAAAGTTTTCTAACAAAATTATTTTTTAGTTCATATTCAGTTCATTTTAACAAGTTCGGTCCGTATGATCATCTTTAAGAGATTCTCAGTTTTTTATTCAAGTATGCTTGCAATTTATACGTGTATGATCGTTTTTAAGGAAACATATAATATCGGTTCAACTTCTGTTCTTTTCCCTTTTCAATCAATATGTAGGAGCTGCATATGGAGAAAAAGGCAGATGATGATGTGAACACAAATGAAAATAGTCAATGGGACGATTCTGTTTTGGATTCTCCTAATAATCATTTCGACGAAGAAGCGCCTTTGATGTATTCATCAAGGATATCTCATCTAGGAAGAAAGCCAGCTTAGAGGCAAAAAAAACATTCATCTTGGAAGAAACCCAGCTTATCAACAAGCGGAGTTTTAAAAGTCAAAAGGTCTTAAAGGAACCAAAACAAGTATATGTCTTAACCTTTCTTCCCAAGAGAAGTACAGAGATATATCCTTCAGAAGAGGGAGGAAAAACAAAAGATGAAAGAAAACAGAGCAGAGGAAACATACATATTCTTTCAGCATAGTTGATTTCTTTAATGAATGTTAGAAGTATTAATTAGTAAATTGATTCATTTTTGTATAGGCTTTTCGGCTGGATCATGCAATGAAGATTCTATTATTTTCACACGGATTATTATAACTCTGATCGACGATTCTCAAGTTGCTAGTGTACTCATAGTTATAAGTAATGCATACCTTAGCCTAATTCAGTGCAATGTCATCACAAACTTTTCAACAATTAACTAAGTATATTGTTTGGACAACATTTGCTCATTAGTCATTATCTAAGTTTTGGCTACTAAGAATTTTGGAAATGCAATGCACAACTAAAATTTTTTAACATGATTTTTGTCCCATATGGCATAACTTGTTGCATGTCACATGTTGCTAATTTGTTTGTATTTTAGTATCAAATAGACATGCTGGACAAATAAATAAATAAAAGGTAACGTGCTGCAAATACCTAAAATATTTACAAAATGGTCATCAGATAGACATGCTGGACATCAGATCGGGTTGGTTTGGGTTCAAAACCTCAAACAGGTCCAACCCTTGGGTGAGAAATGTTGAACCGATTTCAACCTATTTATTAATTCGGTTTTTCGAGTTCAATTTTATTAGGTTTTGGATTTTTAGTTTGGTTTTTTTGAGTTTAACAGAATTGCGTGCAAATGAAAATAAATATAATTTTTTATTTGGACCAAGGATGACCTGATTTTAAAAATGATCAAAATGCACTTGAGGATTTCTTAATGTATCATATATGCTTCTTACGCACCACGCGAAATTTTGAAAATGTTTTCAATTTTTAGAGATGTATATTCGGACGCACCAAAAGGCCAGTTAACGTTAAAATATTTCAGAAATACATCTCTGAAATATTTTGGAGGTTAAATCGCGTCAGACCCTTCTTTTTCTTCATTTCTCATTTTACTCAAACTCAACTTCAAACCCTCTCAAATACCTTCTCTATCCTAAGTCAAAACTCATTCAACAAGACTCAAGGGAACATCAATCATCATCAGTAACATCATAAACAACATCAAAAACATTAATTTATGTGAGTTTTTTTAGTTTTCTATAACTTTTTGAGTTTTTATGTAAATGAGTAGAAATCCACGATTAGAATTAAAAATAACATTTAAGATAGTTTAAGCATAATGTATTAGATGTTTGTTGGCTGAAAATGATTATCAAAACAAGTTTTTTTTTATAGATTGCATGGGGTACATTGACGTCATTGAAGCAACTTCTGAGTTACAGGAAATTCCGGAGATGCATCTCCGAAATTTTTCAGCGTTTCATTTGGTTCGTAGTGTGATTTTTATAGACTAGAGTGCCACCTATACAAACGTCGTCTACCTACGGTGCTTTATGGATTTCGAGCGGATCAATGAGTACAACTAAGGGACGACTTGTTTGGTCTACTTGTATTCAAAGTTGAGAGAGGGTCGTATGTGGAAGACGAAGCAGGTTACAGGCAGTGTGACACTACTGATGTAATAATTATTGGTCTTTGAATGTTTTTTTTTTTTTTTATCATTTTCATTTTATCCTTGCAAAGCCATTACTGATGATTCGTGCGTTATAAGATTTTCATTTTAGGCTTAGATCCTCTAGCATTTCCTGCGCATCTCCGGCTGGACGAGTGTACTTGATTACACTGAGGATATGTCATGTGCTACTGCTTTTATCTCGCTCAGAGGGAACCAGACAACCGAGCCTTTCAGAGTGTATCTCGATTATTTGGTTGTTGAGTACATGCACTTCAACAACTATGTTAATCGCCGTGAAATGTGGTCATTTGACGAGATAATGCTATACTCTTGATGGTTGGCTCGCGGATCGCGTCTCACTGCTCTTCATCTACCCAAGCGCGTCATACGGAAGTTCGACTACACTTTCATCTACCCGAGCGCGTCATACGGAAGTTCGACTACACTCAGACCATTCTCAGACACTCTGTTGTCTCTGCTCCTCCTACCTTGACACGTAGACATATAGATGACATGTTTGATGATTATGAAAGTCATCTGGTACCGGAGGAGACACATACTGCCATATTTGAGAGCGGTTGAAGTTACGTCAAAGGGTACATAAATGGTTTTTTAGGGGTTTCACATCCGTACATGGTGCATGTTGATCCAGGTGATCCGTCGAGTCTAGCTCATCAGTAGATACTAGAGGAAGAGTATACACATCTAGATCATGCTAAGGATGTCTTACTCAGGTGTCGTTGAATAGTAGAGATTGTGCATGCACGCATTGACATAGATATCTTTCCTGATGGGTCTGATGTGAGGCGAATCCTAGATGCTATCGTGATAGAGGCACATTGACATAGACATTGACATATTGTTATGTTGTAATAGGTGAAATACGGGCTGAAGTTGTAGGTTGATTAGAGGATGTATTAAAAAATGGGAATTGGTTTGATGCAAGTATGAATGGATCAAAATTCTCATACTTGAACCTCTCCGTAACAGGTAGGATTTCGATTCAACAAGAGTGAAATTATTGTCTTGAGCTCTATCTCAGACATCAAACCTGCATACAACCTTTTCTTAAGGTGTATTCTAATAGTTCGTGCTTTAATGGCATTCCACATGTATCTCAATTTAGTGAAGACTCTAGGAGTTCTGCCTCAAAATTCCATAGGAACCGACCTAAGTTCCTCAATCACATATGTGAGTCTATAAAGAGTACTCATGTAGCCTATGTACTCCCTTATATAGAGTATAGATCTCATTAAGAAATTCTATTATGTCATCCTCTCATTGCTTCAGGATTCATGCTTTATTTATTTATACTCGCATGATCATTTTATATCACTCACAACTTGTTATTATCCATTGAACCTATTTCTTGAGATCCCCAATCGTATAGGTTGGGTTACCATCATGACCAACTAATTTCTCTATAGGAATTAGTCTCATCTTCTTTGATGTATTATGGACTTTCTCTCTAGCTAATCCTTTCGTCAAAAGATCTGCTAAATTTTCATTAGTTCTTACATGATCCACTCTTACAGCTCCTTTAGAGATACAACCTCTAACAACATTGTGCGTTCTTCTATTTGATGTTTTTTACCATTATAATAACGATTCTCAATTTTTGCAATAGTCGTGGTACTATCGTAGTTGATCAACACAATTGGCATAGGTTTTTCCCACAAAAGGGATTTAACTAGCAAGCATTTAAACCAAGTTGCTTCTTCACTAGTAGTCGCTAATGCTATCATCTCAAACTCCATCGTTAATTGAGCTAAAATAGTCTATTTCTTTTATTTCCAAGATGCAACTCCTTCAACTATATTAAATATATAGTATTTAGTTGCTATATAATAATTTGATAAGGTATTCCAATCTGCATCACTGTATCCTTCAAGTGCAGCAGAAAATCTCTAATAATGCAAACCAAGATTCATGGTCCTTTTAAGGTACCGCGTGACTCGTTCAATAGCTTTCTAATGATCATTACTCGGTCTACTGGTAAACCTACACAATAATCCTATGACATATGCAATACCGAGTCTAGTATAATTAGTGGCATACCTAAGATTGTCAATAATGCTCATATATTTCGTTTTTCTGACACTATCACCAGTGTTTTTAAACAATTTTTCACTTGGATTGTATGGTGTGTAAGCGGGTTTGTAGTTAAAGTAGTTATATTTTTTTTAAGATCTTCTTTATATAATGAGATTAATCCAAAGAAATTTATTTCTCGGATCTAGTAATCTTGATTCCAAGCATACTCGGTTCATCAAGGTCTTTCATGTCAAAATTGTTGCTTAACAATGATTTCATATCATTAACAACCTGAATGTTTGATCAAAATATGAGTAGAACGTACATAGAGACATATGATAGTGCAAATGCGATTCTCAGATTTGTAATAAACACATTTGTAACTTTCATTCACTTTGTATCCATTTGATATAATTAAGTTATCAAACTTTGTATGCCATTGTTTAAGAGCTTGTTTTAGACCATACAAAGACTTATCTAACTTACAGACCTTGTTTTCTTTCCCATGAATCATAAACCCTTCTGGTTGGTCCATATAGATTTCTTCTTCTAAGTCACCATTTAAAAAATTTGTCTTGACATCCATTTGGTGTACGATTAAGTTATAAATAGTATCAATTTAAATTAGTACTCTAATGGAAGTAATTCTAGTGACTGGAGAAAAAGTGTCTAAGAAATCTATATTTTCTATTTGCCTAAAACCTTTGACTACAAGGCAAACCTTCTACTTATCAACAACTTCATCATGTTTTAGTTTCTTTTTCAAAACCCATTTACAACCTATTGGTTTACAACCAGGATGCAAGTATACTAAGTGTCAGGTCCTGTTAGATTCTAGAAAGTCTATATCATCGTTAATAACTTCTTGCCATAAATCTACATCCAGAGATGATAAGGCTTCTTAAAGATTTGTCAGATCTTCCTCTAAGGTATAGGCTGCATAATTGGGCTCGTAGTCTTTAAAAACTCCTACTCATTTACTTCGTCGAAGTTCTATTTCTACTTCGTTATTGCTTTCAGTGCTTCTTACCACAGGAATGTGATTCGATTCAGTTTCCTCATTATTTCTTGATTTGAAAGGACATTTGTCTTCAAATAATTCAACATCATTTGATTCTATGATCACTTTAGCATTTAGGTCATAACACCTATATGCTTTATTGTTTGCAGCATACCCAATGAATACACATTTATAGGCTCTACTAGCAGGTTTCACTCGCTTCAAGTTCAGAATTATGACATAAGCCAGATAACCCCAAGTTCTTAAATGAGATGAGTTTGATT